ATATATACGTACGTAAAAATTAACTCTGTTCCTGACTGGTTAGAGAACTGAACTTTTTTGGTACATAACATTTTTTAATCTGTAATATAATTACTATTGCACTTTCATTATATTAAAAAAATTGAATATAGTACGTGACTTCTTTTTAGTCTCTACACGAACTTGACGAAGATTATTATCATCATTTTCAATATTTTTTTGGTTATTTGCTATTTCCAATTATTTTGTACTAACCCAGTCAAATTAGAGAAATCGGTGGAAAAAAGTCCCATTGTTTTGAAAATGGTTTTAAATGATTTCTCTAGACTTGAGCTGATATGTGTCAAAAGTACCCGAAGATAGATAATGAGCTCGAGGAAAAGGGAGGGGTTAAATGCCACTTTTATGACTTTTTAGCTCATATCTCGGAAAAAATACACTATACAGAAAATTGAAGCTCTGAAAATTCTCTACAAATATAATACTCATATTAACAATGGTAATATTCAGGTGTCCTTATATTATCTTTCAAGTCTTCATTGCAACTTGACCCTTTGTATTCCGTTGGAGAGCACTAGTGTACACAGAACTTAACAATAACTACAAGTTAGAGATTAATGCATGCCTGCTTTACGGTAAAAAAAGTATACCACAGCATTTAGCGGAGCTGCAAATATTGTAGAAAGTATACGAAAACCAAGTATCATGGTTTATGGTCCATAATTGCTCAGAGTTGAAAATTTCTATCCCCGCCTTCAGTAGATTTTTCTAATGTTGGGAATAGAAATGTTCAACTCTGAGCAATTATGGACCATAAACCATGATTCTTGGTATTCGTATACTTTCTACAATATTTGCAGCTGCGCTAAATGCTGTGGCATACTTTTTTTTTACCGTAAAGCAGGCATTACCCAACTGATGCATTAGCGTTTGAGGTCTGGTTTACCGAGTTTGCTATCTGGGAAATTCAGCCCGTTTGGCTCGTCTGACGATGGGGTATAAGTCCCGAAACTGATAACGAGAGAGTCCATAACGGCAAACAAACACAACTTTTTGTTATTTTCAGTTTTTTATTATTTTTGAAAGCTGAAGATTTTACAGAACAGCAGTTTGCATCATTAGAAGTTATAAAAAAAGATGAATGAATGTTTTTTTATAAGAATTTTCTTTTGGAAAAATATTAAAACAACTAATACTATGCGACGGAGCTGTTCGCCGGTGAGCAATGGGTCGTGATATAGTGAAAATTAAACTGTGATACTTAAGCCTCTATAGAATATTGAGCGCCACTCAGTTTTCCATTTACTTTCGAAAACTTCTAAGTTGAAAACTGAGAAATGAACTCAGAATATAGGTATTACTTATTTTAGGAATTACACAAATGAAACGCTGAGATAAACTAATAACTAAGTATAATTAATCATTAAATGTAAAATAGAACTAAATCAGACTATGAAAAATTTAATGTTTGATAATATTTGTTGGTATTGTATGTATCAAAATAGATCACTATTAATGGTAAGTTGAAACTGCACGCTTCTGAATATTATTTTATACTGATTATTCCGCATAAAGTCTGGCCATCTTGGTACCAAAATGTAGGGACTCTTCATATTCAAAAAAAAAACGTATTATGTGAATATCAGAAATGTGCATAACATGTGTAAAATATATGAAAGTGAACTCTAAAGCAATCAAATATATAATATGCCTGAAGGGCTTAATGAATTAAAAGGAATTTGAATTATATAGATATAAAATTAAATGATATGGCCTGTTTTATCCGTTCAGGTCACAAGCTAGTTGTGGTCTACCGGAACTGGATGGTGGTATAAGATGTTTCTGGACAGACAGGATCGAAAACTTGTGTGGATTCAGGAGATTCCTCCGTTATTCCCGGTGTGAAATGTAGGGACACAACGTGGACCAAATGTCAGGTGCAAAAGGACAAAATTCCGTTTCCAAGAGGGTGAAACCACCCCTCAAATATTACAATATTTTTTATTTAAAAAACGGTCAAGTTTCCGAACAATACCTTAAACACGTATATTTTATTTTGTTTTTTTACATATTTTAAGATTTTTTAAAAATGTATACAGGGTGTTTCGAAAATTCTGGTCATTGATTAATCACGATCCTGCTTAAAGCGCTTGACGTAAAAAGCTGATTTTTGGAAAAAAGATTGACTTTAGGGTGTAGAGGTTCGATAAGAGTGGATTTTTCGAAACCCAAATTCTAAGGGGGTGAAACTATTCCTCAAATATTAAAATATTTTTAATTTATAAACACGTATATTTTATTTTGTTGTTTTACATATTTTAAGATTTTTTTATAAATTTATACAGGGTGTTTCATAAAATATAACCATTGAGTAATCACGATTCTGCTTAAACTGCTTGACGCTTAAACCTGATTTTTGGCAAACGGATTGACTGTGGGGTGTAGAGGTTCAATAAGGAGGGGTTTCTCAAATCTCAAATTTCAAGAGGGTGAAAACGCCCCTCAAATATTACAATAGTTGTTATTTAAAAACGATTAGTCTTTCGGGAAAACGCTTGGACAAGCATAATTTATTTGTTTTTTTTTTACATATTTTGAAATTTTTTAAAAAATCATACAGGGTGCTCCACAAAGTTGGGTAATTTCTTAACCACGATTCTGCTTAAACTGCTTGACGTAAAAAGCTTATTTTTGGCAAACGGATTTTTCGAAAGTCAAATTCCAACGAGATGAAACTACCCCTCAAATATTACCAAGTTATATAATAATATTGCCATATTGTTTTATCTCATGCTGACATAAATGTGAGAAAATTTTATCCAGTTTGTATGTTAATGGAAGTTCTTGCTTTGCTTTATCATCACCATTACAAATAATGATTAATTCGACGCGAACGAAGTCGATGGTCCACGCTAGTTTTAAATAAAATGCTACACAATGTTATAAGGCAAGAAATATTTTTATTTTAAACATTACATATTGATACTGCAAGAACCCTTCAGTTTTTATTTATCTTTTTTATAAAGCTATGATTAATGGACTTTACAAAAATCTACTTATGCATATCGCATATAGACCTTATAAAAAAACGTAAATATATTCTTTATAAAAAATATGTCTGTTATGTAAAAAGCGGCACTTCGTTTTTCGTTACATTACAGCATCGTAAAACAGAAAGGGATCCGTTTTAATGTATGCTAATAAAGAATATGAGCCTGTAAATCGACCGTTACTTCTTTTATAGCTTGTTTTTAGGAGCTACACAGCTCTCCACAACCGAGGCTCCTTTATACAGATTTTTTAGTCTCGTCCTCCACTCGTTGTTGCACGTTGTTAAGCGTTTTCTTCTCCCTTTTTTATCGGATTAGAGAAGAGCGGGTATAGATTGATTAATTTTTAATGAAATATTCGACGATTTTTATACCGTCGTGATAGTGGAAGCTCTAAGAGGCATACCAGGTGTTTTTCAAAAGTGACCTCTATAGTACAGGGTTCGTCAATAGTGCGTCGGGCATCTGTAGCTCTTACAAAAAAAAGTTAGGAATTTTGTTTAAGTGCAAGCCTAAAGTATGTATTGTAAAATCGCTATTTTTGGGGCTTACTCAACCGGGTCTCACAATGCAAATTCACCTCAAATATCCATTTAGTTGGTCATTGGCAAGCACTCTCTCATTGTACATGAAAATAACAAAACAAACATTTACTGATCTGGATCAAATTGATAGTTAAATAGTAAGACTCACCCGGGGGTACTCCGCCCCCTAGCCACTGACATCACTGATATTCTATTCAATATATCCCATTCCATCTAATTCAAATATTATTCGGATCTATTGGTTAATAATCTTCAACAACTAGCTAGTGTCACCTGAAATAGTATAGGGGCTTCCCCCGGACGCAATTCTGCCGCTAAACAGATTCGCATCCCAATCGAATAAGCTAATTGGGGTAGCTCACTACCCCAACGCCGCATCGTCAATCGAGAAGACATTATGGAGACCTCATACTCTCAAGACCAACTCGAAGGCAGGACGTCACAAGAGGTTTTCTTCCTGTGATCAAACGACCCCGTTGGCTTACAGTTAAACGACTTGCAACTATGTTAGTCAAAAGACTCGCAAACCCCATTTGTCAGCTCTGTGACAAAACACAACACTACACAGCCGGCCGGCCTATCAACTACTGACTGACCTGTCGCGCACCGGCAAGCTAAGCCTCCTCTTACATCACAATTTTACCTGATCTCAAATATTTACATCGCTTGCCAATGAATCATACTATTTTCTCTAATCGACTTTCAAATAGAGTGTTTTAGCATTACTAGATAAATAAATAGAGAGTTTCCGAAGGAATGCATATTGTTTATTAGAATAGTGAACAAATAAAAGCATTATTATGAATAACTTATTTTCCAAATTTTACAGTATTATAAAAAAAGGATGTATTTCAGGAAAATATTTTAACCTCTTCATGGTGGCTCAAAAAAGTTTGAGTGGATCGGGATGATTTTTTTTAATGGAACACCCTGTATTTTTTATCACTTTACATAATCCTAAGATATTATTAAATATGTTTTGATAGTTTCAAAGTCATTAATAAATAAGTAGGAGAAATATATTTTTCCACTCTTGAAAAGAGCCACTCTTGAAAAATACCCAGTATACATGACGTAGATATGGCTACAAATAAAACGATGTTTTAGTAGATAATGGCAGTTATTTTATGTTATATGTCTATAATTTTAAGGACTGGCTATAGCGAGTATTAGGAACATAACTTTTTACAGCTTTAAAAGCGTAATATAAAAATCTATAATAAACCTCTAAAAATCCAATACTAATAAGGTTTTATGATTAATATAATGCACAGTAACACATGGGTTAATAATAGCAATGCATTTTATAGTGAAAACACTCTCTAGATAGATAATTTCATTGAATGTGGTACATCAGAAGTGGGATCTTCTGATACTGATGCGAAAAATAATAAAATTAATTGACAATTTTTTATTTTATTTTCAGTTCCACCCGATATATTGGATTATGCTACCAGCACAGATGTTGTGATTAGAGAAGGTTCGAACGTCAATCTGCACTGCGTGGCTAAAGGCTTCCCTACACCCTCGATCATGTGGAAGCGTGAAACTGGCGAAATGATTAAGCTGTCAAATGGAAAAGAAGGTAAATTGGATGCGCCGACGCATGAATGTTAAATAGTTAATTTTACAGGAGAAATATATATTAATAATAATAAAAACTAAATATCTAAATAAATAAATATCGAAATATAAAAAAACATAACTGACATATCATAATTATATTTTTGACAAGTGACATAAAGACATCATCATCACTTTCAGCTTATTCAACCATTTCCAGTTATGATGTAGTCTTTGTCATTGTTGTCTATTTTTAGCTACGCGGGTCCAAATTATCCCTGCTAATTGCTTAACATCATGGTGCCATCCCAGGTTTGGTCTTCTTCTAGGTCTTAATTCCTCGTGGGTACCATGCTGTCATTTTTGTGGTCCATCTGTTGTCAGTCCTTCTTGCCAGGTATCCTGCCCATTGCCACTTGAGGAATTTGATTCTGTTGATGACATCAAGTACTTGGTTCTTTTTTCGTATTTACTCTATACTTTTACGGCATTTCTTGGTTAATCCCAGCATATTTCGTTCTATTGAGCGTTGCGCGACCTGCGGTTTTGTAACAATTCTAATAATTTATTTTATTTTTTTTTTGTTATTTTAGGAATTTTTATTCATTATTGATTGGTTCACTCTCTAGATAGATAATTTCTATCTATCTATTTACCAGATAATAAACCGTATGATCAAAAAAAACGGCGTAAGCGATGGCTATGAAATGAATATCGCTGTCATTCTATATGTAAATTTATATGGGAAATGTCATCGATCGCCATTTTCTAGCCAACTGGACGCCGTTTTTTTTTCGATCGTATTTATAAAATTACTTACTAGGGAATAATTTTTTAACTATTATTTTTTGTCTAGAATTGATCGCAAGCTACCCATGTAACTATTTTTGGCTTTTATCAACATAGCAACTTTTTAAACTAATAGTAAGGCTGTAAATAAAATAGTTTTAGGAAAGTTTTCATTACTGTCTCGAGATATAGTTAATTTCTCGTTATTGGCGTGAGCAATACCTACTCGGTACAAAATATATTAATACTTTTATTTGCCCCTACATTGACATATATCATTATTTATTCTAGCTACAGTATACCAAGCCAAAATACGTGTCTAGATATTATATATGATCTAAGGATCGACACAAACAAATTGGACTTGACGTTAAAACAATTTGGAGCGAGGAAAATGGCGAGACGACCGGTGCAGAACGACTACACCGAACATGTTCCTTGTTCCGAAAGAAATGAAAGGGAACAAGAAAATTTAATCAATTCCACTTGTTTTAGCGAAAGTTATTTTGTTATACAAGACAAACCCAACTCGTGAGCTGTTTTATTATGGCGTTCTTATTCAATTAAGGGTGATAGATAAGGGTTATATAGGGGTGAAAAAAATTGTATAAATATGTTGGGGAATATTTTTCTTGGAGTGTGGGTGTAAGACATGTCGATGGAACAAACAAGGTTTTATTTTTTTTGTCTGAATTAGGTTTATTGATTTGTATCCTTTTTTATAGTGAAACACATAATGAAAAACTAACAAGGGAAATAATTTTCTGTGACAGTTTTCTCTTTCTTTGGCCCATCGCTTGTTTGGTATCTAATCAGAAAGATAGTAGTCACTACTCACTTAGATCAATTCTGTAAAAACTGACCATCTTCTGTTTATTATTGTTAGTAGTGTTTCTAATTTGTTATACAGGGTTATTCACCACATTCGACACGGAGTATTGTAGCTAAACGATTAGATTTTCACAAATTGTAAGTTTTGGGTTCGTTGAAGGACTATTAGAGAATTTAAAAATATTTTTACAAGATACAGAGTGTCCCAAATAAGTTAAAAATATTACAGTTGTATTTCTTTAAAAGGAACACCCTGTATATTATTCTATTTTTCGATTCTACGATTGAAATAAAGCTAAATTTGATTAAGGTTTATCACACTTAAACCTTACCGTTTTTGAAATATTTTCAATTTTATGAAATTGCAGTAAAAATTTTAAGGCTTCATTTCTCCCAGGGTATCAAAGTTTTTATACTAAATATTTACTGAAGATTATCTATTGATCAGATATTGTGTTGCAATAATAAAAATTTTACTACCTTATACAGAGTGTACAAAAATTTATATTAAATAATTACTAGATTTAAACGGCAATAACTTGTTTAGTTTAAATTGAACACCCTATATATGTAAATCAGATGCACAATGTAATTGTCTATCAAATTGTATTATACCATTTCTTACCCATCTCTTCAAGTTTTCGTAGAAAATGCATTTTCTTATAATTTAGACCTCATTTATCTGAGACTTATCTGACCAACGAAATTCAGCTAGGTAGTTTAAATGTATTGCAGAGAATTTCGAAGAACTTTTTCCGAAAAAAGGAATTTCAGTGTACAAATATTGGGGGTGAATTCCCTCGAATTGATCTATTTGCAATTGATTTGAATTAGCTTATTGATTTTAGTTTTTAATTTTACGTTGTTCTTGTTTATTTGATAGAAAGTAGCATTCTGTTCCATTTCTTCATTCCATTTGAGAAAAAATTAATTATGATTAAAAATACGATTTAGGCATCTATTATCCAAATAAGAAAGAACACGAAAAATATTTTAGATGATAGAATCTATTTTTTCAATGCTCCTTCATTATTAGTGGTTGTATGGCACTCTGGATTGAAACTTACAATACTGTTTTTTAAATTGAAAATGCCAAAATTGAAAGAAAGAGAAGACCAGGCTACTAGTAACATAGCAAGTTGCCGGACGAATTTACGTTTACTTGTTTTGCGTTTGTACTCGAGGGTCACTGCCGGCTAGTCGGCTGGTCAGGCAGTACGCAGTTGCAGTTGTGCTTGGACGGGTCGGTCATGACGGAGTTAAATATTTATTATGAGTGTGTTTACAAGCCAAAACTAAAAATAAATAAATTCTCTAAACCCAAAAAAAACTAAAATATTACGCTAAATAAAAAAAGTTATCTATATATATAAGTATATATAACAAGTGTTCAAAAAGACCATCTTCTTGGGCTAGACAGAAGCCTAGGCGGCCGTAAAATCCCCGTCTGACATTGGCTAACATATTAGGGCTAATAGTTTGGAAAGCCTCTCGTATTTTTACTTGAAGCTCATCCAGATTATTAGCCCTAATATGACCATACACTTTGGATTTTACATAACCCCACAAAAATAAGTCATTGAGAGAAAGATTTGGTGATAGCGGGCCACAAAATAGTTCCATATCCACTAATTAAACGGTTGGGAAAAGTATTGTTCAAATATTCTTGAACAATACGGGCATTGTGGGCAGGACAACAACCTCAGCAATTTGATTACATGAAAACGTGGAATTTTGATCCGCGGTAGCACAAATGAACGCTTGCTTTAACTCCTGTTCTTCATTAATCAACACATCAGGCTTTTTTTGTTTTTGTGGGAACACGCACCCATGTGTTTCAAAATAATTAATAACTCTTGATACAGTAGGTAAAGATGGAATTGGCCTGTCTATAAAAGTTTGTGGAAAAATTGTTTGTATATCCCGATAAGACCTATTTTGGAAATACCATTTTATAATTTGAATTTTCTCACGAACTTCGTAAGCATCCATTATTTTACTTAAAAAATAAATTTTACACGAGAACTGTCGCGAGAATCTATGTATTCGTTTTGGCTATTAAAACACGAATAAATACGAATTCTGAAACATTCTTATCACATAACTACCTATTTTTATTTTATCGCATTTTTTGCCTGCTTTTTATCCGGCGGACGGGTATACGCTAATTCGTCCGGTTTTGCCTATGTTACTACTACGGTGGTCCGGTCTGTATAACATGCCATTCTATTCAGAATGTCAATATCTCACAGGTAAAAAATACCGGGAGTACCGCTTAAAAATCAATAATTAAATTTTACAGTGCGGGTTTTGAACACCCTATAGTGGAACAAATCAAATGTTTCATTTAATATAGTAATTTTCAATTGAAATTTTCACCTAATCGCTTTAAATTCTGAGGTATAAGTAATTATGGCGACCTATTTATTATTATTCGATAACTTTTGTTGAACAAAGGCACATAACCCCAAATTGATGTTGATATATTTAAACAGGAACAATTAGGCAGTCCATTTCCGTATAAAGACAAATACTCAATTGAAGTGTATACAGAGACAGCGAATATTATACGCCACTACATCCCACTTAGCGAAATAGCTCCCCTCGAACATGTACAGAACCGGCTAAAATATTCCTTTTCATTAAAGGCTAGAATTAAATTTAGCCTAGCTCACAATAGTATAAATGTTAAGTATTTATGCTAGTTAACTATGTGGCTACTACATAGGAGAGAACCTCGGAGAGAACCTAGATTTTTGGTCTAATATTTCAAACCGGTTTGATAGAGAGTTTCCGTGGTTTAAAAATAATTTCCAGAATGTCAATTATTAACTTGTTCATAGAGGCAAATAATAAATTACAACTATTAAGGTTGATTCTCACTATACCTTCCGTTTCCATTCCATATCCGTTCCGTATTTTTTATTGTATTGACGCTATACGTAAGCTTCCGTTCCGTATCAGTTCTATATTTTTTATTGTACAATTTATATCATTACGAAAGTTTTATTTTAAAAATTTTTACCTTTTGAGAAAGTTAATACATTTAATTAAGAGGTGAAAGAATAAGTAAATATCAGCAAAATCTTAACAAGGCTGGTACAGTTATAAGAACTTGACAACGCTGTTTCCGATACGCTTCAGTCCGTCCGCCAAAAAAAGGATATGGAACGGAAGAGAAACGGAACGGATAGTGTGCATTGTCCAGTTCGTTTACATGATATAATATTTTATGTAAACGGAAAGGATAAGTTAGGAAACTGATATAGAAGGTATAGTGAGAATCAACCTTTAGGTAATCCTAAAGATAAAACACTTCCACTGAAAAGGTGGGGTATTTATGAAATTTCGTGTAAAAATTGTAATCAAAAATATGTTGGGCAAACAATAAGATATGCCTTTTTTTTAATTTAAGACAGGCCTTACATACAGACCGGACCACCGTAGTAGTAACATAGGCAGAACCGGACGAATTACCGTATACTCGTCCGCCGGATAAAAAGCAGGCGAAAAAATGCGATAAAATAGGTAGATAAGATAAGAATGTTTCAGAATTTGTATTTATTCGTCTTTTAATAGCCAAAACGAATACATAGATTCTCGCGACAGTTCTCGTGTAAAATTTATTTTTTAAGTAAAATAATGGATGTTTACGAAGTTCGTGAGAAAATTCAAATTGTAAAATGGTATTTCCATAATAGGTCTTATCGGGATATACAAACAATTTTTCCACAAACTTTTGTACACAGGCCAATTCCACCTTTACCTACTGTATCAAGATACAGGGCTTCTGGCTAGCATAAGAAGATGGTCTTTTTGAACACTTGTTATAACTTTTTTTTATTTAGAATAATATTTTATTTTATTTGGGTTTAGAGAATTTATTTATTTTTAGTTTTGGCTTGTAAACACACTCAAATAATAAATATTTAAGTAATTTCATTTTAAATGTTACCTTAAGTGAAGGTAAACACTTAAAATGAAAATAATAAATACTCGGTACTCCTCGAGTCGTATTTCTAGTCTGTCATGACCGACTGCAACTGCGTACTGCCTGACCAGCCGACTAGCCGGCTTTGACTCTCGAGTACGAACGCAAAACGGGTAAACGTAAATTCGTCCGGCAACTTGCTATGTTACTAGTAGCCTGGTCTTCTCTGTATAACTCTCGCCAATATATGTATATGTTACAGTGAAAGTCGGAAATTTAGTGATTGTTAACATTGCAATGCTAGCAAATACAAATTGGACCAGTGAACGTGGTAAAAGAATAGAGTGTAGAAGACAAAAGACCCAGGTAATAGATGCCATCCACTTAATCAAATCGCTCAAGTGGCAATGGGCAGGACATCTGTGGTGGACACCTGAAAAAGGACGGACAACAGATAGGCCACAAAAAATACAGCATGGTACCCACGAGGAATTAAGAGACCTAAAAGAAAACCTAACCTGAGGTGGGACCATAATATTAGGAAATTAGAAGGGATAACTTGGGCCCGCATATCCAACAATAGACAACAATGAGTCCAGGTTAGGTTAGGTTAGGTTGCTGGGGTTTGGGATCATATTTGATCCCTCACTCGGAGGCCTTGGGCCCATTGCGATACCCCTGTGTTGTTTTACCAAACCCTCCTCTCATTATTTCTTTGCGTTAAAGTACTTCCAGCTCTTTGCAAAGTTCCCGATGTCGCTGATGTTGGCTTCTGCTGCTTCCTCTAGTCCCTCCAAAAAACCTTGCCCTAAAGTTTTAAAGCGTCGGTATTCCAGTGCCGGACAGCAGGTGCTCTATGGTTTCTTCTTCCTCTCCGCATTCTCTGCAGTAGTCGTCGTCGGAAACTTTCCATCTTAAGAGGTTTACCCCCGTGGGACAGTTTCCAGTGACGACACCTACAATTATGCGTACTAGGTCCTTTTTGTGCTCTAGAAGTTGTTTTGTCTTTTTGCTATCTACCACTGGCCATAGTCTTCGAGCTGTAGCGCAGTCCTCACGGTGTTGCCACATCTCTTGCTGCTTGGCTTTGATGGTAGTTCCTATAGCCTCCTTCAGTGTGTTGATCGTCACAAGTGGTAGGTCATCTGCCACGGCCTCTCCCCTGGCCCCGTCTTTGGCGAGTCTGTCTGCTTCCTGATTGCCCATCACATTGCTGTGCCCTGGCACCCAGCACAGAGTAGCCCCGCCCCGACGCAGCCAGGACAGTGCTTCTTGGCATTCCATCACAGTTTTCGATTTCACTGATTGCATGGTGATGCTTCTTAAAGCGGCCAAGCTGTCAGGGTATATCACTATATCCCCTATTGCTCTATCAGCAATTTTCTCTTGTGTACATCTAGCCGCTTCCTTTATGGCGTAAACCTCTGCTTGGAGAACATTACAGCCATCCGATAGCCTCAAAGATTGTCGGATGTTTAGTTTCTCTGAGAAGATGCCTACAACTCTGCCCCCTGAATTTGCGGAAGCATCTGTGTAGACTGCTATCTCTTAGTGTTCATTACTCGGTTGCTTTCCCATTCCAACAATGAGTCCAACTACAAAGAGAGTATCTAGACATGTGAGGGAGGCTACACCATGATTGGAAATGCTGAATAGTTGACTCAGCTGAGAATGATGATGATGATGGAATAGATTGGTATGGACGTCATGTGCCTTTTTTTCTGTCTTCGTCTGTCGAAATCTTACCTGAGTCGTAAAACAGAGTATGTTTGTAGTAAAACGATATAAAACAAAGTAATTAAATAAATAAACCCGGATAAAGAAACTCCGCAAAAAGACGCAAACAGAAAAAAAACTCGCACATAAAGCTGTCGATTCTACATCCAGACACAAAAAACAACAACAACAAACCGACAAAACCCCATTCGACAAACAGAAACTTCAATTTTCTTTCGCCATCCACCACTTAATCGTGTAATTCCGTTTGCTTTACGCGAGATTTTCCGGTTTGTCTCCTCCTTCTCCCACTTCCCCTACAAACGCTAACTAGAGATGGGCAATGATTGAACGAATATTAAAAAAGGATCGTGAAAATTGCAACGTTTTCAAAATCCGTTACATATTTTTGAATATTGCTCTAAGGTATATTATACAAGATGTCCTAAAATTAAATGCAAGTATTTCAAAGGGTGGTAGATCTGGACAAAAGAAACATATTTTCTCTTTACTATTTTTAAAATAAATTAATAATAACCGAGTTATTTAACTTTGAAAATGTTAAAAAAATAATGGCAACATTTTGAGAGCCGCCGGCAGCAATCGATAATCAAACTTAGCTTGTTCGATTCCCAGTGTTGACACATCGACTTGAAATATTTAGAAACGACTTGGAAAATTCAGATTTAAAGTAAAAAACTTAACTAACATTAGAAAATGGTATTCCGATAGATCGATGCAATTAAGTTAAGGCGTCGTTTTATCACTTTACCTAAAACCGTAACCCTACATTTCACTGCGATTCTTGACAACACTACACTTCTAGTTGTACAGTGACAAAATCCTTGACAGTGATATATGTGTCTATTATTTCAATTTCAAAGTAGTTCATTTTATTTTAGAAAGAAATAAATTGGTACAACTGGGACGCATAGCAGAAAATTAATCTATTTAAAATTTGTGTGATGAGTGATTACTTCAAAATATTGTGAAAAAAACCGTATATAACTGAAAAAATTAGTTATTTTATTAAAAAAAATTACGGTATGTGTTAATACAAAACAAACAAGGGTATATTTTAAACAAAACACCACATCCACGTACCAAAAATAAAATATAAAAAATATTTCTTATTTTCAAGTATTATTGTTCATTATTTGAGTATTTTAGTTTTGAATAACTAGTAAATCTCAAATGAATTGGAAAAACTAAAATTCATCAGCTGAACAGATCAGACGATTTACATTAGTTGGTTTTTTTAAATGTGAGTCAAACGTTGACTATTTACATATCTAATAGAGGGCGCTGATTCAAAAAATTCGGGTGAAAACCTTGTGAAATAATGATTCACCAAAAATATTAGTCGTGCACCCATTGCTAAAAATATAATAATATAAGCGTGGTATGGTTTAAAGCGATTTTTTTTTCTTAATCTTTTATATTGGTCAAACATCTAGACCCTTAAATGTTCGAATGAAAGAACATAAATATTATTTAAGAAAGGGCGACTTTCACAGATCTAGGATTTGTCAGCATTCCTGGGACACAGGGCACAGAATAGATTTTAACGATACAAAAATTATAATGAAAGAGCGATAGCCTCTACAAGAAAAACAAAACAGGCTTTTTTAATACAATCTAATGAAAACAAATGTATTGCTCATGCATCTGTAGATGTTACTAATGTATGGCAATCGCTTCTTTGATTTTAAAGAACATAACATAAATAAACATAGCATACGTAAAAATTAAAAATACAGAAAGTTTGAAGGTAGTAATTGTTAATGTTGAAATTTAACTTGATATAATGTCATTTTAACAGAACGTCAACGGTTTTTGTAGACGTATCTGTTATAAAAAATGTTGTGTTCTCGAATAGTTGCATTTTGCTTCCTACGATGGAAAGAGGTATACTTTCCGAAACGTTAAGCATTTTTTGTCCCTTAGGCAAATTTGCCTATTATTAAACCACTGCTGACAATTAGTCGATTAACGCAGCAGTGCTTACAAAAAATAACTATTTTATTTTGTGGATTAGATTTTCTTACAGTGGCGAAATAAATACCCATAGGACTTTTTTGGAGAGATAATTCATTGCGAATTTGTTTTTAACAAAACTGATCAACTAAATGGATATTTGAGGTGAATTTGTTCACTTTTACAAAGATGAGAACTTGAACCATGTCAATAGATTCACTAAAAAAATTAGTCGGCACCCATTACTAATACAAACACATACACATCCAGAAGCTGATCGAACAAACCAAACAAACTATTTCCGGTGTCGAAAAACCTGTTTCTGTGGCGCGGCGCCAGCGTTGCCGTTGTTCCCCTTCCAACAAAGGCGTCTCGTAATTGTCAACGCCGCCGCGTAAAGAAAGAAATAAAAGGGATGGGTGGCGAAGAAAGGCGACGGGGGTGGGGAAAAAATACAAAACCAGCGACAGCGCAAGAGGAATTTAACGAAATTAACGGTAAGTGCCCCGAGGTCGAGCTAAATGTTTAATTTCGGCTTCTAAAGCGATTTGCGGACGCCATTTAAGGGACTCGGGGCTTCGGGACGTAATTGCGTTACTTTGTCTGCGCCGTTGTTCTATAGAAAAGCGTGGTATAGTTTAAAGCGAGTTCTTTTCTTAGTTCCGCGTTATCTGTTCCCTTGTTTGATCAATCTTATCTGTTTCTTTTCGAAGCTATTATTTGATCAGATTAGATTAGATTTTTTGAGTTGGTTATTGGATCGTTCTACTGCGACGTATTTAGGTCTATTGTGGTGCTCTTTTGAATATTTGGTTACATTCTCTAGTCGTTTTATTTCTAAAATATCTGGTAACTTTTAAGTAGTTTGGACGCCATCCCTCAATCTAGCTTCGACAATATCATAAACAGCTGCTACCCTATCACCGAAATGTTTTACGAAATATTTCTGGAAATATCTCGTGAAACATTTCACAAAACATTTCTGGAAATAGTACGATACATATAAGCCCGTGTTATAAAAATTAGTTCCGACGTTTCTTGAAATTGATCGAGACGCGCCGTGATTGGTTGTTTGTTCTTTATTGTTAATCTGGGTTCACACGGGCTTATATTTATCCTGCTATTTTGTGAAATATCACAATCAATGTCAAACGTTGTTTTGGCTTCAGAAAAATAAGTAAACATGGAAAAACTGATATGAAAACAGTTACCGATGGTTAATTAAATTGGCTATTCCTCGAAGATTCCACAAAAATATTTAGTTTTAATTATTGTCTAATATTATTAATCACAATATAGTAAAAAAAATATACATCAGTGACTAACTACCATTTATCCGCTTATAATCCACGGTATTGCGCCTCATCAACAAAATATACACAAAATTATTTAAAAAAATCGTCCAATTTATTTATTATTTCTGGTTATGGTAAAGTAACATTTAAAGTGCAGTCTGTAGCAAAGTTTAGTTTACGAATTTGGTTTTGTTTTTTACTTTTAATTGTCTAAATCCCTGCATAATAAATACTAGTTGAATAGATTTATAATATCGTTTACAGATTTCTCTTAAGAACAATAAAAGAACAATACTT